TTATATATTATTACTTTATTTATTTTAATTTATTTTTCTCTGAGACAGGGTTTCTCTTTGGAAATCCGCCTGCCTCTGCCTCTGGAGTAAATCCTACCAGCGTGTGCCACCACAACGCCGGCTTTTGTATTTATTTACCACTTTGCTGTTTCATTTTCTCTCTCAATCTCAAGTATATTTTTAAACACATTGTAAACCTTTAGAGGTTTGTTCATCCAAGTCTGACTTTACTGTAAATCTTTACGTTTTTCTGGCCACGTGTCTTATCTGTAAAACCGTGGCTGTTTTAAACTGCCGTTTCAAGATGGCGGGCGTAAGCGTGATTACAGCTTACTGCCTCAGTCCATGCTGACATCCAGCAAAAGCTGCCACTTCCAGCTGTACGTACACACTTTTCAATCGTTAGCAGAGTCTCTTAAAAGAACCCTGTTTTGTTTTTCTTTTTATGCCGAGTCAGGAAGACTCCGGTAAGTGAGCCACGTGAATCTCGGTTTGTCACTAGCAAAACAGAGCACACCTGAGAAAAATGCTGCTACCAAAAATCTGTGCTTCTCTCCGTTCTTCTGCTTCCAAAATTCCTTCAAATCTTTTGTTATTTTGCTTGGAAATTCAATCCAGCTCCTGACAACCATTCTGTTAAGAGAAGCTTTATCTTTGCTTGCCGCTCACCCACCAGCCGCCTGGGCTCTGCCGCATTGTAGTCCCCAAATAAACAAACAGGAGGCTATATTCATTATGAAGCTGTTGGCCTTGCTTGTTTCTTATGGGCTAGCTCTGACTTAAGTAATTACCCCATAATTGTTAATCTAAGTATGTCTCTTACCGGAGAATAGTTCCGGGCTCCTACCCCATGGCGTTACATCTCAAACTCTCTTGTATTTCTCCTTCCCAGAATCCTCCTGGACTCCTAGTCCCTCCTATCTAGATTCCCTATTGGCCAGACAGTGCTTTATTGGCATAAGACTTCCCCAACATATAGTTTTTAATTTTTTTCAGTATTTTATGTATGTAAGTATTTTGTTTGCATGCATGTACGTACTTCTACCATGTATCTCTGGTGCCCATAGAAGGCAAAAGAGGGAATCAGATCCCCTTGAATTGGAGATATACGTAGTTGTGTGTTACCAAGTAGATGCTGGAGATAGAACTTAGGTGCTCTGCAGGACTGACAAGTATTTTTAAACAGTCATCTCCTCAGCCCTGCATGTTTATTTTAGATAAGCTTTTCATAACACTCTTTAGCACACTAAAATTAAAGAAGCCCAGGGCCAGAGCATCTCCTGATGTCTTGTTCTATTTAGTGTCTGCATTCTTACTCTCTGAAGAGCCACTTCAATGACTGAATAGATCCTTTTTTAAAAAAAAATCCATGTCCCCTTTTCTCTTCTTATGAAAGAACAATAGTGAATCCATGGGAAGAGTTCTGAAGAATCATGGCAGGACAAACACATTTAGTTTCACGTATTACCAAGAAAGAAACAAAAATAATTTAGAGATAGCTAGCTCTTCTACCTTTAATGAGCAGGTTTTTTTCTAGAACCAAAAACTATCTCCAAAAGATAAGTAGCTGTGTCACATATATCCCAGGATGAGGAAATGAATAACCTAGTCATACAAGAGGTGCTATCGATGTGAGGAAATCTGTAGAGACATTTACTGAAGGCCCGACATAATTTAGAGGAATTTTCATTCCCTAGTTTAACTGTTCTACAGAAAGCATGCCACCATCCTAACTAGACAGATGAGGTTACAGACTCAGAAGGACCTTGTAAAATGATGTATTGCTTGTTCCTGATGGAGTTGAATGGTGAATTCAGGCCTGTTTGTTCCCAAAGTCTGGCTTTTTGAATGAAAAAAAAACCACAGAACGTATATCTTGTAGTAAAGAAGAAGGGGCTATGACTTGAACCTGGAACCTCGGAAACTAACTGATGACATCAGTCTTTATTGGAGAAACCCTAGCCTAGAAACTGTGCTTGCTTATTCTAAGACTGGTCCTCAAAACCTGCCTCCCGCCCTGTGCTGAAGGTTAGAGAGGAACTCCTGCTTGAAGACTCTAGCAGAAAGGAAGACCCAGGCTTGTATCAGTTCTGCTCCATCGAGACTTTTGCAGTCATTCAGCTGTGTGTCAGTTAGCAGAAATTATCCATCAGTCAGTGTGGTGTCTTCCATCCCTGACTTATCTTAGTTCTTTGGGAAGGGCTTTCCATGGAGGACAAAGATCAGAAACATGTCACCTCCACGTCTGTGGAGACAGTAAGATTTGACAATGCTGTACTTCTGGGGTGTGGGCAATAAGGGTCATTGAATCGCCCCTTTTCTCACCAATGTCTGAATCTGAACTGTGGTTTAAAACTAAGTGTGGACTTTAAACTAATTTATTAATGTTAGACATCAGGACAATAGTTTCCTTTGAAGGCACTATTGATTACAAAGAGGGACAGGGGATTTCCTGACTGATGGTAACTGTCTTTTTCTCCATGTTAGTGTTCCCTTTATGAAAGATATAAGGGAACTTGCCAGTTATGGTTTGAACAAATCTTTCAATGTTTATTGCTATAAAATTATTTTAATCTTATTTTAAATTACCTTTAAAGTGTAGTAGTGTTTGGAAGCATTCACAGGCATTTCTAAGTTAGTTACAACAGATGAGTTTATTTCCACAAGTCGGTTAGCCTGAAGACGCCCCACTCTACTCCTCACACCACTGATGTGTCTTCATCCTTTCTCCCACATGCTCCCTTCCTTCTCCATGACCCTGTACAGTGGGTCTTGCAGCTAGCAGCCCTACTTGTATATTCACGGTCCTTTACTCCACTGCTGAAACACTGGCTCCCCAGAGTCTCCTTCCAGCTTCTGTGAACTATAGAGACAGAAGAGATGACTTCTCTCTCTCTCTCTCTCTCTCTCTCTCTCTCTCTCTCTCTCTCTCTCTCTCTCTCTCTCTCTCTCTCTGTCTCTCTCTCTGTCTCTCTCTCTCCTCCTTCCCCCTGTCTCTCTGTTCTCTCTATCTCCCTCCCTCCCCCCTCTGTGTGTGTGTGTGTGCATGGGGATGCTTGCAGGGATGACCCCATAGAGGAATACAGATGTAAGGAAGCTTTTAGGAAAATGTGTCTGTCAGGCATTCTTGTTCATATTGCTCATTAGAATAGTCAGGCTCTCAGATAAAGTTCTGTTTGTTTCTTCTCCACCATTTGAACACAAAGTTAGAGTTTGAAGGATTAACTTTCCTTGGTGGCTTTGTAATTGTTTCCTTCAGGGACATTAGTATTAGGTTGATAACAGTGCATAAACGACCTCAGGACCTTGGCTCCCTGAGGAGCCCCGAATTCTGCTTTGTTTCTATGGCACAAATGAACCTCATTAGCAGCAGGCAGGCTTTCCTTGCTCTTGTTGGTCTCTGACTCACAGCCGAAATGGAACCAAATCTCCGTAATGCATGGAGCCTTTTCCCCCTATCTTATTGCAATTATGTGATACTGTTCTCCAGACCTTGTCAGTCATTCCTGTCATGCAGGTTCTTCTCAGACAAAGCTCCAGAAAAAAAAGTGTCATGTTTCTTAGGAGATGTCAGACAAAAAACAAATCTGAGGTTAGATGTAAATCACCTTGTGGGCTACTTCCACAAGCTTGCTATTCTTTATACTAAGAATATTTTGAGGTTAGCATCAAAATAGGAAATCAGCTGCAAGATTAGTGTTGAGGTCTGGCTGTATTACCTTACTGATATGTAGTAAGAGAAACAGGAACTTGGAAGAGCACCCATACTGAGAGGAGCCTCCCTTGTCTTCTGTTTGCTTGGGCTGGTCAGCTACTCTTTTCTGTTGAGATGATCAGATTTTGAGATGTATGGACTGAGGTTCTGGGACGTGGAAGCCTTTCTGAGGCTCCTTCAAGTCCCCAGTGTCCAAGTTTATAACCCTAACTCTGTGAAATGACTTGGTCAGAGTTGGGAAAGAGCCCTATGCTGGGTAAGACCCTGTCCCCTTCCTTCCCTGAAATTCCTATATTTTCATTTGCCCTTCACAACAGCCTCAATTATCCCTGTATTTCAGATGAGATCTGAGAAACTGAGCAAGTCATTTACCCAAGATCATAAGTGAGGAGCCACTTCCGGTTGAGCCCAGTTTCATTCCAGGGTCTGTTGTCCTGATAATCTTGATATAAAACTCTAGACAAGTCACCCAGGTGTAAACTCTTTTTTTTCATGCATGATGAGATTGGAACCCTGGGTATTTCTTTTGTAGCCCAGATGACATCAAGCTCATAATCCTTCTGCATATGCCTTTAGAGTATATGCTTAGTATAACTGACATGTATCACCATACCTGGCTGGCAAGGACTTTGCTAAGCACCTCAAATAGGTACTAAGAAGTTTTCCTCAGGGAACAAGATAGTAGAAAGAACGGCACATCCAGATCAACCTCCTGCACTGAATTTCTCATAGACTAGTATTCTCAGATGTAGAACTGATCTCTGTAACCATGAATAAGAACACCCTCTGTGCCTAGAGCATAGCAGAAGCTATCCACTGGATCAAACACTTAAATTTGTTTGTTTCCCTGAGTGAGGAATTAAACACATCCAGAAAAGCAATTGGGTGACTGTATGATCATATTACCTACATATAAAAGTGTTCTGTTATCCAGGGGTTGAAGGCATAGGCATGGGCTCCATGGGCACAAGCACATACATGGGCTGGCTCTTACTTGTGATCCGTAGATGTCTAGCAATGGTTCCAAGGAGGATACAGGAACCTAGACAACTACATTCTGGATTCATGTGGACATGTGAACATATTTATTAGCATCTCAAGGAATCTGTGACCAATCATTTAATACTTATGATTAAAAAGACATTTGATCCAATTATCTCTGTGCATCAGAGTCTGAGAACACTTGGGTATTTCCAGAGATTACCTACGTCTTTGTAATGTTTCACTTTATTTATTTTCTTTGCAGATTGATTCAAATAAACCCTCTTATTGACTATATTTACAGACTGGATTTTTCCATCTACCACATGGAGACTTTTTCATTGAGCCTGTTAGAAAGCATCCACTGAACGAGGAAGGGTACCACCCACATGTCGTATACAGGAGTCCAGAGTCAAAGGAGCCTACCTGTGGATTAAAGGGTATGGTGACTTCAGCATCTTCATAAAGAGTGTTCTGTTTTGATTTTTTTTTTGTTAAGCATGACCTCTTCAGACAGGTCTGATGGGTGTGACTATAATCTCTAAAGATTTATTTAGAAGGCTGAGGCATGAGGGCATGAGGGTCATGAATTCATGAATTCAAAGTCAGCCTGAGCTACATAGCCAGCCCTATCCTGTGTTTAAAAAAATCCTCTCCAGAATATCCTAGAAAGAAATAACATAAAGAAGTAATGTCTTTAAACACTGACAACATGATATTACATTAGTGCTAGTGTAAACCGTTATAAATATCTGGCAGCTCTTCAAGCCTGCATATGGAAGGTAGATTCAAATGTTTGATAATGATGTGTGAAGAGCAACAGAAAAGCTTATCAACACATTATTAGATGATGAATTTAGTGATGTTCCTGGTTACACTGTTCTGTGTCTGATGTTGGCTGAGCCATGTTCCCTGCCCCCTGCCCCCTGCTCCCCTCCACCTGACAGTTCTTCCCCTTTCTCCCCTGCCTCCTTCCCCGTTTCCCAGTCCTCCTGCCCCTGCCTTTCTACCCCCTATCCCTCTGCCTCCAATCTCCTGTCCCCTGTCCCCTGTTCCCCTGTCCCCTGTCCCCTGCATCCTTATCCCTCTGCCTTTCTGTCCTTGGCCCCTTGTTTCTCTGCCCCCTTGTCCCCCTCCACGTCCTAGGGGACCCGAGCTGCTCCTTTCTTTCTTGTCGTGGATAGTTAGGATCTTGGAGGAGCTAGGGAAAGGGAAATCCATGACCAAAATATATTGCTTGAAAAAATTTAATAGAAAATGATGCATTTATCCTTTCCACTTTCAAACAATAAAAAATAAAATGGTTTTCACAGATAAACTGATCCAAGTAATTTCATTGCAATCTCACATTTTCTTCAATGTCCAGGAAATGAAAACGACGATGCATAAAGGGCTACTCAAAATCAGAAAATTTCCTCATTAATATATTGTCCATTTCTTCAGAGGGAAACTGACAATACCAGAAGAGAGAAAAGAGAACAAAAGAAATAGTATTATTTTGTGTCTTAAGGATCTGGAAGTCTCAATGGGGAAATAAATGAGGAAGGAGCTAAGGCAGTGGTTTCTGGGCAGAGCAACAGAGGAGGGCTACTTTGTAGTCAGGGTGTAGAAGGAAAGACAAGGGGACACAAGTGTGTGCTTGAGAGAGACATTCCTGGGAGTTCTTGTTATAGTATCAACCATGATTGTAAGCAATAAGAAACTTTTAAATATGCAATGTTTTTATGTGCATAAAATCAAATGAATGTTTTAATTCCTTCACCCTGGTAAGTGATTGCAACTGGGTTCTCCATTACATAATTTACCATGTAAAGCTTATAGCAAGCGTGACAAGAAAGGAAGGCAACAATCATCTGGCTGATTGGATTGCTAGAAGTGCCAAACCACATAATCTCAATGTCAAATTTAGGGTGCTGTTTGTCACAAACCCAATCAGTGAGTAATTTCCCCGCTCCTATTATGTTCTGAGTAATGGAGACTGTGTTGTGTATGTGACTTCATAGCTTTAAGCTAGACTCCAAGGTTTAGTTTTCCAGCATATCTAGGGCGTGAATTTGTTTACGGTTGTTTCATGGCAAGCCTTAAGACTGTTCCTTACCTACCCACTTTGAACACTTGAACTCCCTGTTGAGAAGTGGGTTGATTGCAAATGCACAGAGGGCCTGAGAGATGGCTCAGCACATAAGGGTATTTGCTGCTCTTGCAGAGTGCCCAGGTTCAGCCCCCAGCACTCATATGACAGCTTAAAATTGTCCAAACCTCCAGTGCCAGGGAATACTATGCCCATTCCAGCCTTTACATGTGCTATACATATGTGCACATAACAGAAAAATAAATGAATCTTTTGAACAATGAACTGATTATAGCCAACATTTAGTCATGCAGGCAGAAGAAAAGGTAGGAAAAGAATGAGGTTTACAATATCATAGTCATGGTTATATCACATACAATAGTACAATGATGATACTTGCCAAACTATTTCATATTGTGTTTCTAGGAAGACCTTAAAACTTGGCACTTGTAAGTTCTCCCTTGGCTATTCCTTCATGAGAATGATCTTCCTAGGGTGAATTTCTCTAAGGAAACTCTAAAGGTCTACAAAGGACACATTTTGTTTTCCTGCCTTTGAACTCTTCAGAGTGTTAGGATCGATCAGCTGTGCTCTTGGGGACTTAAGACAGTGGCCAAGGAAGCTGCTTCCAGCAAGGCAGCAGCTGTTGCTCAGAAAAAGGAGGCGCTTCTCCACAGCATTGAATTGGTTAGAATCAACACAGCCAAGTTCCAAGCCACAATTTGATTATACCTCGGGTTTTGTGCTACTTCAGTACTTCTTAAGTTTTCAGTTTTAACCTTATTTTATCAGCCATTCCCACAGCCCTGTTAGAATACATAAGAATCCCTCCACCAAGTGTGTTGGATGAAAAGCAGGAGATCAATAAATCGCTGACATAAAACTGATACAGACAGCACTTTGTCATCAAGAAGAAGCCAGAGTGTATCAATTTTTCCTCAAGGTAACACTAATAGAAAGAAGAAAACAAGTGAGCCTTTCTAGACATTGAGGAAGTATTATTAGCCTGAACCATTTCTTTCCCTAATACAATACTGTTTAAATGATGGCTGAAGTGATCAAGAATATCTAATGAACTCATGAATATTTTCAAACTATATGACATTAGGACTTTTATAATCTTGGTAGAGTGAAACATACTTGGTGTTGCTGAGCTAGTCGACAATATTGTTCTTATTCTATGCCATCCTTCAGAGATGATGGAGTTAACTGTGGGCCATGGTATCTTTGTGAACATTAAAATACACTCTACGCTTAGGCTGATGCCGCAGGCTGAGTTAGTGTTGTGATGATCACTGACCACCCTGACCCTGTGTAGAGCTCTCTGGCTTTCTAATGTGCTTCAACAGAAAAATGATGAGACCCTTCCCCCTAAAGTCTGACCCTTCACTTGTTTTTATTTCTCACACATAAACGCACAGGGGATTTTGCAGCCTGTCTCAGGATTTATTTGTGGCAGTAGCCGGCTTTTGACTTGATCACTTTAACTGTTTCCTCAATATGTTGTGCCAAGGCTGTCTGATTTTCTGAGTTCTTTCTGAGTCCTGCTGTATTTCTCAGTTTCTCTGAGATCAACTTTCTAGAGTCAATGCTAAGTAATGGAAAATGTGCAAGCTTTATGCTTTATTTTTTGTCAGTAAAGATGAGCTCCTTTGTCTTCAAATTATTGGCGAGATGTGGTCATCTCGGGGTGGGAGTGGCTGCTGGGTGGAGATGTCAGGGAAGCTGGAGAAGCTGTCATTAGGCAGATGAAGCAGGTGGCAATAGCTGCAGGGTTGCATGTGGCAGGAAGTCATCCTGGCAGATAGGACCAGAGTCTGAAATTTCACTCATCAGGATTCCAGGCTGTAAAGACCTAAGCTTGTTCCTGGCATAAAGCTTGTTTTCAAACTCATTGAGTGGTCCAACCAATGTGGGCTGGCTATCTCCTTTATGACAGATGCTTTCCCTAGACTCTGTGGATACAATTGTGAAGAGTATATAGGTCCTAGTATAAAGCTGAGAACTTGGATAAAGGGCACAGTAAATAGGGGTCCAGTCCTGGCCTTACCTTTATAATGTATGGTAAGATCATGAACAAATGGGAAATATTGGGATGTGTATGGGTTTTTGTTGCTCTGCACTGTTTGTGCCAGAGCAGTCAGCCATCATTTGTTTGTTGTTTCCACTGCCAAGTCCTCTATTTTGTAAACCTTCTGTACCTGATCCAGTCTTGAGTGCTTACAAATTGCTTCCAGGTCTTGACATTATATATCATTGTGTTGTCTAGGCCATTCTTGTTTCCTAGTGTAGGTTCATGGGGATTTCGCCTTACCTGCAGGCATTCTGTGAGTTTATTCTGCTACTCAGAACATCTAGTTCTAAGACTTCACCAAATGATGCATAATTGCATTCCACGATTGATGTTCAAGAGCATGAGTCTCTTGTTCTGCCTCCTGACTAATTCACAATATTCTCTCTTTTGGATTTTGTCAGTTTGCTGGATAGGAAGTGCTTCATGTTATACACAAGCTGCTTTGAATTTGGGTACCATATATATAGACACACAAACAAATGCTCTAATATATACACTATTATGTAGTATGCACTATGTATATAATAGTATATATATTAGACAATATATATGTATATGTGTGTGCACTAGAGCAGTTGTTCTCCACCTATGGGTTGTGACCCCCCAAAGATGGTCAGAAAACACAGATATTTACATTAAAATTCACAACAGTAGCAAAATTTCAGTTATGAAGTAGTAACAAAAATAATTTTATGGTTGGGTCACCACAACAGGAGACACTAAAGGGTCACAGCATTAAGAAAGTTGAGAACCACTCTACTAGAGCAACCCAATAGTTTTCTTTCCTGTACTAAGAACAATGACCCAGATGGCCAAATATTTGTGTGTGTTCTTTCTTTCTTTCTTGTTTATTTTTTGAGACAGGGTTTCTCTGTGTAGCTTTTAGCTTGTCCCAAAACTAGCTGTCATAAACCAGGCTGCTCTCAAACTCACAGAGATCTGTCTGCCTCTGCCTCCCGAGTGCTGGGATTAAAGGCATGTGCCACCACTGTCCAGCTATATTTGTGTATTTTCATGTTCATTTGTCATGTAGTCTCTAACATGACGTTCTATCATTGTAGGCCTTAAACATGTCCCATTTCTCCAGAGCAGAAGTAGGCTGCAACAGACACATCAGCTTAGCTGTTAATGCCATGCATCATTCAGGATATAGTCAGAGAAATAAAGCCAGCAGCAAATATATTTTGAGATACTTATTGCAAAGAAATGACTTGAGCAATGGTTAAGGTTGAGTCTTGCAAATGTCTAATCTATGAATAGGCCACCAGAAAGGTCATGGTGGGACTGCAGTGTCT